TAATGCTATTGTACATATGAACAACCGGGTCTCATTCGTTCATATATTTATTACTATCGCCCAATTAATATTTAAATTGTTTATACTTTTATAATGGCGATTGTTTTCATTGCTCGCTGTTATCGTTATTGTGAATATATTTAATTGTTAATGCGTTCTTCATTATGCCTATGGCATTTCTTCGTTCGTTTCTTGCGTTCGTCGTTGATCATAAATTCTTTTCGTATATCATATCAGATTAATCAAACCGGTCAAAGGAACATGCGTGCACAATGGAGGATTAGCAAACTATGCCTCTAGCTCAGGTTCTCTCATAGGGGAAATTACATCCGTAGGGTAGTTTGGGGAGTCATGGGAGCAATGGAGGGGCCGAAAAATTGGTATTTCGTGCAGTTGTTGTATTATGATGGAACGCTGTTGTGATGGTATTTTTTCACTTGGGCATGTATATGCGGTTCGCACATGGCAACATTTTCATTTCACTTATTTTGTGAGTGTCATCAGCTCGTCTGGATCTGACCAAAAGTCGATTTAAAGAGATCACAAGTATTGTGCAACAGATTAAGTTAACAGCACTTGGCCTATTTTCAATTCAATTTGATGAATCAACGGATGTGTCGTCATGTCCGTTAACTTTTTTTTCAAACATAGTCAAGGAAAAGTGATGTTTTGCTCGAGATTGGAGACGACCACCAAAGCTGTAGATATCCTAGAAAAAGTGTCGTGATTTTTTGAATCAGAGAACCTCCACTGGGATAGCATTTGTGGGTGTTGCGCGGACGAATCACCCGTTATGTTGGGAACGAAATTGGGATGTCAAGCATTCGCTCTCCAACTGTGAAAGGGATGCATTCGTCGTCAAGTGTTAGACTCAAAAACACTTCTTCGTACGCTCGAACAAGTTTTGAACAAATAATTCAAATGATAAATTATGTTGAGGGTTCAGCTCGTAGTTCTCAAAATAATTTATAACGGTATGGATGCCGATCAGCAACAGTTCCTTTTTCACACAAATATTCGACGTTTATTTTGAGGATATATCGTCGAGTGCGTTTTCGATCTCAGGAATGAATTGAAAGTATTTTTCGAGGAATTTCAGGGATTTTAGAAAAACGAATCATTGATGCATCTTGCATATTTCTTAAACATATTTAAACAGCTCAGCATGCGGATGCAAGAGAAGAACAGGAATATAATAAGGTTTACTAATTGTTTGAGGGTTCTCGTGGGTAACATGGAGAAATGAACATTACTCTACGAACAAGGAAGGCAAAGATGAACAATTCTGCAGCGTTCAAAAGATTTTCAATAGTTCCGGATGCTGGGAGTAATTGCGGTTCATTACCAGAAACACAGAAAAAAGAAATTTTGAATCACCTTGCAGCAGTGCAAGACGAATTCACAAAACAATTCCCCACATTGAGTGACGATGATTCGGGTTTAATAAGGAATTCATTTAAAACGTCCGGGAAAGTAGTCTCTGATGAAATACAGGATGAAGCCGTGGAACTCTAGAATGATTCGAATGCGAAGGAAGTTTTCGATGAGAAGCCCTTGTCAGAATTCCGGCCTCTGATGACTGGATCTTACTCGAACGTGCCGGAAAAAGCTATACAGGTTCCATTACCGTTCGTGTTAACATGTGTATGCGAATTCGCATTCTCGACATTGTTACTTTTGAGAACAAAGCTACAATCTGGTGATTGAAAGTAGTGCTGTGCATTTGCCGTTTTCATGAATAAATGGAATTGTCGATTTATTTCATCGCTGACGAATGTTATTTTCACTGTTTTTCGTTGCTAATTGTTGAGGTTCATATTGTTTGTGCAATTGATAAGTGATGTTCTAAAAATACTTATTTCATTCCACAAAATTAATTTCTTTCACGTTGCTGAGGAATTTCCAAGCCAGTTTTCCATTTGCTCCTGACGTTATGTGTAGAAACACCAAGTTCTTATAGCGAAGGAAGGGGTTAATGATGACCTTCCAAACTCTTGAAGGGGGTAATGGAGCACCCGAGCGTGAGAACCACTGCTCTAGGTGAATTCAAATTATAAGTTAATGATAAGCAAGTATCTCGCAATCAAGCGGATTTATGTTTGTATGAATAATGTCCTAAACAGGAATAGAAAGCGATCAATAATAACGACAATGAAACAGCTAAACAACAACACTTTACTTCCAAATAAAACGATACAGTCAAAACGAAAAAAAAATTCATACGCAACAAATTAATGCCATTTATGATATCTTTCCTGAAATCAACAAATCATCTTATCAGTATCTGACATATGACAATTGTCTTGAAAAATTCAGCTGAGTCGATTTCAGTAGAACAAATGAATCATGTGACCGTGAAGTGAATTGTGAGAAGAAATGGAAAGATAAAAAGGAAAATTTCGGCTATGGAAAGAATTAATGTTCATTTGAAAAAACTGAAAAGATAATGGTAGATAAGTAAAAAAGTTCCAATAACTGAAATTTTGAAAAAAAAAGATTTATATAATTTTTCGACCGTAGATAAAATGATATTTCGTAACGTTATTGAAACACGAAAGAGAGCAGGTGAATAGTGTTTCGACAATGTTACCTGACGTTTTGATCTCAATAAATCGTTACAAATGAATCGCCGGTGCACATCGGACGCTTCACTATAATCTTCTCAAATTTGTATCACTTCAAAAAAATCAACCAAATTTTCATCAATTCGTCTTCGTCTTGTAAATTCTTCTTCACTTCTTCACGGATCTTCTCAATTCACTTCAAAAAATCTTCAAATTCCTCTTCACAGCATCAAATTTGACTCTTCTTTTCTTCTTCAGTTCACTCAAATTTAATCGATTCGTTCTTCTTTCTTCAGTCACTATCAATCACTCTCTTCAGTTTCATCTCTGATCTGATTCAAGCAACCTCAATTATGACCTTCTTATTTTCCGATGTTTTTCTCTTATTTCTCACTTCTCAGCTCTTTTCTTCTCTCAGCTAACCATCACCGTTCCAACACTGGAATATCAGATAAAATTAGATGACATCATCGAAACATTTTCATACAATAAATCAAAACAAATCAAATCCTCAAATTAGAAAACCATCGGACATGTTTCCATTTTAATGTCTCTAATTAACTGAAAAGTTCCAAATCGTACACACAAATCGAATTCGTCAATTCTAAAATTTTGATTGCAAATAATGTTTTCTCGGTAATATTTGGTAAGGAAAATCATTGTTTCACACCAGCAAAAACAATCTGATAAACGAATTGTTGTCCACACTTCCATACAACCATAATGCTATATTCTAAAAAAACCGTCAATTATGGATTAAATCCTTTCCGAAATTAAATCTACAAACAAGAAATTAGTTTCTTGAAGTAATATTTCACACATTAACCTCTTCATCTTAACTAATTCAAAATATAAGAAGTCTCAAAAATGAATAAATTGAGCAAATGAGTTTTCCAAGCTGCATATGAATGCAGTGATCATCACTTGGATTTTCCAGATTAACAATAACAACAACGAGAAATAATACAAAAACTAAAATAACAGCGACTGCGACGGTAAAGCTAATGATCATGGCTGATGGATTTGGGAGGACATCTTGATTTTCTAACTGACATTCATACGAACATTATTACTTTTCTACAGAGAAACAATCCAATAAGAGATATAAGAAAAAAAAAACAAGAAAATATGTGGATAAAACAAAAAGTATTTCAAGAAAAGTGAGAGAACATTCGCTGATATTCAGGTGTATATTTGTTCGTAGAGTAGATGTTCTCCTTAATCCATAATCTCATTGTGAAATGTGACTGTTGCCTAGACTACGACAAAACTACAATACTACTTTCAAAGGCAGAATCTTCAACGATGTAATGAAACCGCACTTTATATAACTACTTTAAAATGAAACAGTTATTTTTTAATTTTTATAACGACACAATACTACAACATCAAAATGAGTTGAGGTTGTATAGAAAAGAGAAGGGATTCACCGAAAAAAGAGCTCGTTTACAGTGAAATCAGGAGACGATTGTAACTTACCCTTAACATTACTACGTGTTTGAAAATTTGTGAATTAACTCAAAAAATAACTATCGATGATAATAACAATGCTATGAAATTACTAATATGGAAGTAAAAATTACCGATAACAGCAACAACCAATCAACTGACTGATATAATTGAGATCAGTGAAAAATAAAGATAATCTTTTGACTTAATACTTGAAAGTCAACGCAAAATCATTCAAATAACAACTTCGTCGAAAAAAAGTAACTTCTCAAGGTGAACCGCGCCTCAAAGCGTTTAGCACACTCCTCAAACTCAACGATTCAACGAAACTCACTGTTGCAATTCAATGAGAATGAGAAATGAACGCAAATAAATGAATGGGCATGAACAAAAAACTAAATTAATAAAGACTGAATGAAGTGATGAAAGAGTTGTTAATAAAAGCACAACAATTAATAGGTCAATAGTAATCACGATCACGATCAAAAGAACGTGACCTTCTTGACGAGCGATATCGATCGCTGTAATAAGAGGAGCGAGAGGGGGATGGGCTGCGTCTGTAGTCACCAGCCCGCGCACTACCTCGGTAAGGCGAATAACGATCATAACGTGATGACGATGCTGATGGTTCATAATAGTCCTCGTATTCGTTATAGTATCGAGACGAAGACCTGCATTTAGCAAGCTGCTCATCATTCGCACAAAATGAGTTTAAAAAACATCAAATTAGTCTGACAACGTGATTAGTCGGCAATATTCACTTATTTGGTTTACGTTAGGATTTAGAATTAAGCCCTACAATTAGGCTAACGCTCAATTTCAAGGTTAGAATCGGTATCAGGATGATGCTCAATTTAAAGCTCATTCAGAATCACGACAAACAGTTTCAATTCATAGTCATATTCAAATCCCTTTAAACGATTTATTAACCCAACATTTTGTCATCATGAAATCATCGAACAAATTGAATGTTAAGCAAAACAAAAATTAAGCACAATCAGTAATAAATGATACAAACCTCATTGAATCGTAATATGAACCTCGATATCTTGGACTTCTTCCACTGCGATAACTGCCTCTATATGGAGATGGAGATCGTCGATAATCATATCGATATGACGGACGACGATATCCCCCTCCTCCCCTCGTTTGCGATGGTGTACCCATATAGATACCCGGGGTCGGGGTATGTGCCCGTTTCGTTACCGAGTAATCCACTCGAACCTTATGCCCATCCACTTCCGACCCTGTCAACTTCTCCTTTGCTTTCACCGCATCCTCCAATTTATCGAAGTATATGAAACCGAACCCACGAGAACGACCTGTTGGACGATCGAACACCAGCTGCACTTTATCAATGTCACCATACTGAGAAAATAAATCCTGCAAAAATTATTTTTTGCTTACACAGTNATGGGTGAGATAAAATGGCACTTCTGTTGATTAGGGGATACTTATGCATTCTCATTATTTTCTGGATCCTCGTTTACATAAATATTCTAAAAAAAGGAACAGAATGGAAATGACAATACCCTGAGATCACGTTCGGTGGTGTACAAAGATAAACCAAAAACACCCAGACATTTGGAAGGTTCAGGATCATCTCTTGAAGAATATTTCGAACTTCCTCCGTTGCGTGATCTGCCGCCACGAGATGATCTCGAATCGCGTGATCTGAATTCAAATTTTGTTTCTACCAAAATCAAGCGACCTTGACTTCGACAAGTTGTAAAATGTAAGTGTTTGGTCAAAATAAAGTACAAATTTGACTGCACTATTTTCAAGAATTCATAAGAAAGCTTTTCGTCATCAACAGCCAATAATCACAGACGCTAACTCTGATGATGCAAAACGATAATTCATACTCGAAATCGACATATCGACTGATTACAGATAGCCAACGGGTGTTTCAGAAACTTATTCGCCTGAATTTTAAAAAATTTTAAATAATTACCTAGAACGAGATCGCGAACGTGATCTGGAATGGCTCATCGAACTCGATCGCTTCTCATAATCACTGAAATAGAAAATTTTGAGTAACATATAAATTTTCACGTCTCTATAACATTCAGAATTGAAGCAAACTGATCGACTTTTTAAACTGATTATGGAATAATATAAGTCCGTATATTCGATTAATCTCATAATGTAAAATATCTGACAATGAGATCACTTCAGGGCAAAATGCTGCAGTAAATATGCGACGAAATCGGTACAACCTCGAATACCAAGAGATTTGAGAAAGATATTTGAAAAATATTGAGGATAACGAACCGGGACAAAGACCGTGATCGAGACTTTGATCGAGATGCAGCATCACTTTCTTCCTCAATGAATTCATCCTTTTTTGCTGCATCGTTCACCTTCAAATAAACATAGTTCTAATTCAAACAACAGATGGGATTCTTTTGATCACTTCCACACGCTGTGGTCAAATGCATTATGAATCATTATGGAAATGATGATGCGATGACCACGAGGTGATCATGCGCTAATACATCCACCTATAGTACGGATGTCCACAGCCCCGTTCAAATGAATTGACAGATACATTTTTTAGAGTATTGATCTGAAATAATGTAAGCGTTCTTATTCAATTATTCACCAGTGTGCATCAGATCACTTGTGGACGAATAAATTTTCAATATTTTTGTAGATTTCAAAAGTAATAATTTATAATTGGAACGAATCCGCCTACTTCATCGATTTGCTGTGCGCTTTCCCCTTCGCCAGCAGACATTCCCTGAACTTGACGACTGAAAACAAAAACGAATCTATCGACTGATGCAGGCAATTCAATGTAAACGAATGTAACAATCACGCCAACGTTATTCAATCGAAAAGTTTCGTATTGATCGCAATGATAATGGATGAGTAAGTGGTCAGAGATGAAGGTATATAAGTAAAATGTGGATTTACGAAAGATTAGCTGAGAAAAAAGTGTCTAATCGAGATTAATTTCACAGAGAAGAGACCCGTTCATATTCGACGACTGAAAATTCACAAACAACAACGACATCTTCAACAACTTGAACTGTCTTACCTACTGAAAATCAGTGCATAAAACAAGAGGGTGCTCGATAATATGAAGAATGTCGTAGGAGATAAAATTCGAAAATTTAAAGGTAACGATGACCACTGAATCGCGATTGAGATCCAATTATGAATAAAGACTACAGGTGGACAACGGTATGTTAGCAAAAAGTGGCTTACAACTGGTTTCGTTTTTTTTTTCAAAATGAAAGCTCTTAAACAACCATTCATCAAATTTTTCGAAAAGGAAGTAATTAAAATGTGTTTGTTGCGCAACTTCGAAACAATGGTCACGTCTTCGAGCGCTAATGATGGGCTGGCTAGCTGTCTTATAATGGATGAAGATTCAGAGACGATTTGCGTAACGAATGGGTGTGGCTATTACTCACTAGCATTTTTCTGTGCATCACTGCACTACTCAGCTATGTGCGTGCTGCAGCCAAAAACAATTTTGTTGCTGTGTTCGATTCTCTTCACTTAAACCATCGCAGAAACAATTGTGCAGCAAAATGATTTGGCAATATGCAGATTGAGTAAGGTATTTCATGAGAAATAAACTGTTGCAAGC